GAAGGTAACGACAACCGCAAAGTCCGGATTCCACCGGCACCTGACGGGTGTTGTAAGGCCCTATCATAAGGTTTCTCTTCTCAAGAACTCACAAAGAGATCAAACAAGAAAATCTGAAATTTCATTCATAATCATCATCCTTTTACAATAGAAGAGGCCACAATATATAAGCGTAGAAAATAAAATAACAATGACTCAAATGCCCATTGGGCTACAACTCAAGCAATCTCAAAAGAAAGGGTACAAACGTAACTGGCATATAAATAAACTGCAATACATAAATGCATAAAAAATAAAAACTGCAAATCCTGACCATTGATCTATGATTCCTGCGCTGATAAACTCGTCAATATTGTCCGATGTCCTCATCACATTAGGAATGAAAACTAGCAAAGATGATAAATAGAGATATTCTATGATGCACATATAGAAAGGCTCGACATATAAAGGAACAAAGAGATAATATGATATTTTTTAATAATTTTTTTATGATCATTCCTAATAAGAAATAATCATCTTGAAATATTAATTTAACATGCACCTTCAAGTATAAATTTACTATTGTAATTGCTTTTACTTAAAGGAGGTGTTAAACTTATGAGTCACATGACTCATCCTTTTAGATTTTGATGACAACAAACAAATGATTGGATGTTATTAACATTTAATTTGAAATGATTCAAGTAAAATATCAAACCTATCTTGATCAGATAGATCAAAAAGACAAAAATTAGAATGGGTCAGACTTTGTTGGGTAATATTATTTTGTAATAAGATGACAAATTAAATTTTCTCATAATAATTTCTTTTAAGAATATTTTGAAAAGACACTTTGAAATTAAAAATAAAATTTTTATAATGTAATGATGAAAAAATTTTAAGATCACTAAATGTATTCAAAGAAGGTTATCAATGTGTGAATAATTCCATCAAATAAAAAAAAAAAAGTCAAACCAACTAACAACAATTTAAGGATTAATTTCAAAAGATATTGTAAATGAGAATGAAATCAATTTTACATTCAACTAAATATGAAAGAGAAACTAATGTAGGATTAATAAGATCTTATTAGTGAAGACAATAACTTAATTGGTATTCCCTTAGGGTTATATGATGGAAAGGTTATTTAAGTGGAGAAAAAAAAAAGAGGTTTAGATTTTGGATAGATTTGTAGCTGAAACTTCTAAGTTGTCAAAAGGTGAATTTTCTTTGGAGAAAAAATAAGAAACTCCATATCAAAGGTTTGATATATTAGGAAACTAATGGTTGTATTTTTATAAGTTTTATAGGCTATGATATGCTTAATTCAATTGCTCATAGAAGAAAATTCTCTCTATATTAATATTTTGGTTATGGTATCTTAAGGTTACTGGTGAGTTGAGGCCTTGGAAGATTATTAGGAATGCGAGAAAATATTTAGGAGAGCTTAGAAGAGGTTGGATGGGTTTTGGGTTGAGAAAAGCTAAGTTAGAGGTTATATAGAGGAGATGAAAATTATGATGGGAAAGAGCTGAAAAAGGGTAAAAAAACAAATAATTAAGAACTCATCAAACTGGTAGGGGATGAGCCACCAAGCTTCGTCGAAAAGTAGAGCAACCACCAAACCTCTCCACAAATTTTGCACAAAAAAAAAGTATTTAATGAATAAAAAAGTACAAAGGTCCTATTTATAGGTTTTTTTCAAGTCTATATAATTTTTAAAAGTCTTAGGAGCTAACAAAATATTATTATATAAATTGATGACTTGTCCAAATGTAAATAAAAAAATTAAGAGAAATAAAATAAAATTTAAAGCTTTCAAATTTAAGAAGATCGAATTGGCCAAATAAGACAAATAGAGCGGTCTTAAAATCAATCAATTTATGAAGATTTTTTTACCTTCTTGACAAATATGGCCAACCTACACATCAATCGTAAAAGGGTAAGACTTAAAACAACCTACACACAACTAGAACAATCTAAAAACCCTAATCACCAAATATTAGCTCTTCCAAATCTCAATTTTCATTGTCAAAATCAAATTCTCCCACCTAAAAGAAGAGGCTCAAATCTCATAATGTCAACATCTAATATAATGGACGATCTTTAGATCCTCTACTTGAATTGGGTCATCTAATTTAAATTGATGCATGTGCATGAACTTCCATCTCAATAGAAGCCTTCCAAGCCTTTAATAAAGCGAGAAGGATTTAATAAAACAATTTTTACTCTTAATTGTCATTTATTTTACTTTGTTTTTATTTTCTAGTATTTTTTTTAATTGGGATAATTTGGTAACTTGGACCTCTTTAACCTTAGGCTTCTTGCATTGCCTAACCACCATTGATTTATTTTTATAATTTTGTATTTAATTCATCATATATATACTATCATATTTCATTGAATTCAGATTTTGAATTAAATAACTCAATTTCAAATCTTTCCAAACCAAGTTACATATATATGCAAACCCCTTGGTCGTGCCCGTCTTTTATGGATTTGGGTCAATTTAATTGTTATTTTTCATTGATTTATTATATAAATATTATTGATTTTATCATTAACTGCATATTAAAATTATTCCTAAAAATACCATGGCAAAACTTTGATGTTTGAAAAATATTCCTGTTTTTCAAAATTTAAATTACATATTTAAAATCCCTCCAAATTCTCTCTTGGCCGAAACTCTCTCTAGTAAACTCATCTCGCTCTTACAAAAACGCTAAGGTAAACTCACACTTGAAATACTTTACTTCTCTCGTGCAAAATCCTTAAGTCATACTCTCTTGGCAAGATTCTTTTTGAAGTCAATCTCTTGAAATATTAGGTGGAAAATTTATTTCTTCTTCTTCATCTTTCCAAAGGTAGGAATTGATCGGAGTAGGCTTAGTATTTTTCATTCAGAAATAAAAATATAATTTGCTCGCTGCTCATTCATCTCTTCAGTTACCGCTAGAAAAAAAATAACACATCACAACCAACATTTTGTTTTCCTGATTAAGGTAAAGAGGATCAGAAAAATACTAAATCAATGAAGCGAATGTAGAATGCACAGATAGTGACAAATGTACTTCTGGTCTTCAGAGCTATGTTAAACAGACTAGGTAGATGCTTGATTGCAAATAAACTCCTAAAATATGTCCGTTCTATTTGAACTATTATATGCTTAGTGTTTCACAAAAGATGGTAGGATTATTATCTTCTTTTCATGCGGAAAGCATCAGTCAAGTAAGAAGTTTGGCCATGACATTTTTTGAGTGCGAATGGACAAAGGCTTGAACCAAAACACATATGTAAGAGATTCTCAAAATCCAACCTTAACCAAACCCTCTAACATCCCTGATAAAGAAACAAAACCAGATTAAAGGAAATTTATCCCATAAGCTGCACATGACACAACGCAAAACAACAATATTTTCTGCGATACACTAGGTAGAAATCACAGTGTAACTAAACTATCATGTTTTTCATTTGCTCACTCATCTCTTTAGTTACCATTTTAAAAAAGAAAAAAATAGCACACCAATATAGACATGTTGCTTTCCTGATTAAGGCAAAGAGGATCAGAAAAAACTTAATCAATGAAGCAAAGGTAGAATGCATAGAAGTTGACAACCATACTTCTGGTCTTTAGAGATTCCTTAAATAGATTAGGTAGCTATTTGATTGCAAATAAACTACTAAAATATGTCCGTTCAATGCCAACTATTATTTGCTTTATCATTTCACAAAAAAGATAGTAGGATTATTGTCTTATTTTCATGTGGAAAGCATCACTCAAGCAAGAAGTTTAGCCCATGACATTTTTTTGAGTGAGAATGAACAAAGGCTTGAACCAAAACAAATTTGTAAGAGATTGTCAAAATCCAACCTTAACCAAACCCAACATCCCTGATAAAGAAACAAAACTAGATTAAAGGAAATTTATCACACATGCTGCACATGACACGTAGCGCAAAGCAACTATGTTTTTTTTTTTTTTTTTTTTTTTGAGCTTTCACATTTTTATGATAGACTAGATAGAAATCACAGTATAACTAAACTATCACGGTTTTTATTTGCTCGCTCATTCATTTCTTCAGTTACCGCTGGAAAAAAAAAAAAAAAAAAAAAAACACGCCAGCACCGACATGTTTTTTGGATTAAGGGAAAGAGGATTAGAAAAAAAAACATAATCACTGAAGCAAAGATGGAATGCACAAAAGTTGACAATTGTACTTTTGGTCTTCAGAGCTTTGTTAAACAAACTAGCTAGCCGCATGATTGCAAATAAACTACTAAAATATGTCCGCCCAAACCTGAGCGTTAAACCCTCACCCTCTCTAAACCAACCAACGAAAGAAAAAGGAGCTAACTTGGGTAATCTCTAGGCAAGTGGTCAACTGCAAAAGAACACCTCCATCAGAGAAATGTGAGAGTTTGTTGGAAGTGATCGCTCTTGGTAGAAAAAGAGAAAGAAAGGCAACAAACAAGTCACCGGTAACATAGCATTGTTCGTCCAATCAACTCGTACATGCAACAATTCCTAATACAAAAATCAAGTGAATTTTTACTCTCACGTTCTTGACTGTTAAACAATAATTAAAGTTTAAATCAGTTAATCAATTTAGCACAGATTTGATACAGTCCTTCCTCAGTGAATGGCAATAAATTTACAGAGAGAGGTAGTAACTAATTTTGAGCCAAACTAAATAAATTGGTTCCTCTGCAGTGTTCACATAGTAGTAATCCTTAATAAAATGTTTCTTCCATTGTGATTATTGAGCAAGAACTAAGGAATAAAGCAAGCCTTTCAGTATAGATCTGACATATATCTTGCGTAAGAAAAAAAATTCCAGACATTAGTAATCAGTAAAGTGGTTTTAGCATACAATTGAGCTTATAAAATTGAATGCATATGACAATGCCAATGTTTGTATATGCACATGACTCCAACATAAAAAAGATCGAGATGTCGTAACAAGAAACATTTCAATTTAATCACTAAATAAACCAAATGATGGAGAAGGTCTGGAAGCAACCTTTCTTTTCTTGCTATTCCGTTTCTTCAAATCCTTGTCTTTCTTTGCTGCATTTACATGTCAAATAAGTAAAGCTGCAAAGTTCTTGCGAGTTTAAAGGGATTAACTGAAAAATAATTATAATCTACTCAAAATGAACAAGTGATAGAAAAAGAGATAAGTATTCCGATATTAAAAAAAAAACAGTCATATTATTCCATAAGAAAATTAACCAAGTTTTTGAATGATACTTTCTATTAGCAAATCATAACATTAAGTCTAGGACAGATGTAGTTTTAAGAAAATGTTTAGCTTTATTACAAAAGCGTTTACTTACTAACACAATGGCCTATATGCTGGAACTTTATAAAGGCTGTTTTTAAGTCATAGCTTTTATTTTACTTTTCCAAACAATTTCAAAGCAATTTTTGAGAAAAGTAGAATAAAAAATCCATTTTTTTCATTCAAACAGCTCCAACTTTTTTTTATTAATTCTTTTCCTGTAATTTATCAGGTTTATTGTCCTTGAAAAGCAATCCACCATATGATTGCCGATTGGGGTATGCAAGTGGTTTCTTCAGAAAGCATATTGGTGTGAATAAAGTATCCCTAAGATTTCTCCTTACTTGAGGACTTTATATTCCTAGTTTAAAGTTTTTCACAATCACAAGCCCATATAGTATGAGAAATTTGACTTTATATAACCCATAATACTCAATATTACAGAAATATATCAGCTATTTCATTTCATAGGGAAATATGCTTGAAAGTTACGTTCATATTAAAATACACTCATTTTGGATCACGTACTTCTTTTTTAAGTTCGTCGCTACCAAAATTGATTATAACAATATTCAAATAAAATTCAAACAAGTTTTTGATCAAGGACAAAATTACCCTAAAAATTTGAAGAGAAGCCCGGGTATTATATTGGCAACATCTTGAGCAAGAAGTCGATTGACCCTTTATATTCTCAATGTCTTCTTCTTCCCCCCATAGTGCTCATTTGCAAAAAATGTTTTTAAGGTAAAGTTTCAAGATAACATTTCTTTTTTGTCTTTGGTTAGCTGGCGGTTGTTGTTGAAAGTTAGTAATATTATAAATTTGGCAGGATTTTTTTCTTGGGTGATGCTATACATGTGCACTCTAAACCCTTAATCTAGATGGACATAAGATAGGAAATTAACAGGTTTGTACATGTCTCAAATCTTGATCAAACCTTAATCGAAATATATTCGGCTCATGATCAAACATTGATCATAATTTATTTGTATTTTGGAACTAAATTCGAACAATTGTTGAAAAAGCTTCTTCAAACAAGATTAAAAAACGGTTTGATCAATGTCCAAAAATATTTTGATCAATGTTGAAACATTGTTCAAACAACATCTAATAAGGTCGATCAATTTTTTATCAATGTTTGGTGAAGGTCAATCAATTTTTGATCAATATTTGGTGAAATGTCAAGCAAAGCTCATATCAAGTTTTAGTTTTATTATTTTGTAATAATTCTCCTTTGAGATCGACTCATTTGAATTATTTTGCTATGCATACAAATATATGTTGGGATCACATATCGAGCTGGGGGTAATGGAGAAAATTATTAGGTGATTTCAGGCTAATAATATCATTTTGTTGAAGATAAAAGACACATGCACACCATCTGAATATGCATATATATGCATATATATGCTCTAATCAGACCTGCAGAGAAGCATTACACTGCTTTCAGTGGAGATACTGCTAAAGATCAATACAAATGTGGGTCTTTTAATCAGACAAAATTTTCAGTTTTCTTATTCCTTTTTTAAAAAAATTTGAATACCTCTTAAATTTTCAACTTGGAGACAACCATAATTACAAACTGAAAATACACATATTATTGCTTTATCCGAATGGTTTCAATCCTGGTGATACCAAGTGGCATAATCTATAAAGTCATTAGATTTGCACACTTTATAGTGGAATAAATATGGTGTGTTATTTTAACAGTAATAGATCTAATGGTGGGATTGTGACATTGGGTGATTAAGTCATTAAAAAGATTACATATTTTAGATATCTCGAGTCTATTGTTCAAAACGATGGTAAAATAGATGGGGATATTATTAATAGAATCCAAGTTGGATGGTTGAAGTGGAGGAATGGATTGGGCCTGTTGAGTGAAAAAAGTACCTTTCGAACTTAAATGAATATTTTATAAGATGGTGGCGAGATATGCAATATATTATGTATAGAATGTTAGACATAAAAGAGAAGAATAAAATTAAATTAAGTGTTGCAGAGATGAAGATGCTCAAATAGATGAGTGGCTTTTATAATTGGAGACAGAATGTGAAACAAGTATATACATGAAAAGGTTGGAGTAACTCCAATGGCAGATAAGATCAGATAATGTCATCTTAGATGACTTGGTCACATAAAATGTTGGCCTTCCGACAATCCTGTTAGGAGAGTAAATGCATTAAATTGGGTCTATGTTAAGAAAGGTAGAGGCATATTTAAAAAGACTTTGTTAGAATATGAAAAAATTGTTTAAAAGAAAATTCAAATTCAATTCTATTCCTTAGAATCATTACATATATATACATTCTAGGTGAATAAACAAACAAAAAAGAAAGACACTTAATCTAATTAATTATAATAAACAGAAGAGGAAAGATATTTAATCTTATTAATTATAATAATTATATCCTATGGATCTCTGACTACAGCTCTCAGATTGCAACCCATGGATTACTGACGTGGCCTGCCCTTGGCTGCGTGATTCAACACTCCCCATCAAGTTGGGTTGTACAGGTTTTGCAATTCTAACTTGCAAACAAACTTATCAAGTAGAGAGCCAATAGTGACTTTGTTAGAACATCAACAAGTTTTTCATGAGTTGAGGTATATACTACTTCAATTTTTGAGTTCTCTATTTTCTCAGATATAAAATATCTATCAATAATAACATGTTTTGTTCTATCATGATGTACTGGATTATTTGTCATATTGTTTACGACTTGATTGTGACATTTCAACTTTATCGTGTATTCAATCTTTATTCCCAGTTCAATCAATGCTTGTCCGATCCAAATACCTTCACAAATAGTAACTGTTAATGCTATCAGTTCAGATTCTGCACTGCTTCTGAAAACAACATATTGTTTCTTGCTCCTCCATGTCACTAGGTTCCCCCACACAAATTAATAATAACTTATGGTTGATCGAATGTCAACCTTGCTCCCTACCCAATCTACATCAGAATAAAGGATCAATTTCATATCTTCATTTTTCTCGAATAATAGCCCCTTTTCAGGAGTGTTCTTGAGATATCTCAAGATTTGATATACTGCCTCCATGGGCTCCTTCATAGGATTACTCAAATATTGGCTTACCATGCTCACAGCAAACCCAATATCTAGATGGGTGTGGGATAGGTATATAAGCTTTCCTACCAGACATTGATATCTTCCTTTATCTACTGGAAGTCCCTCCTTTTCTATCCCAAGTTTCTTCTTATGGTCCATAGGTGTACTGGTTGGTCTGCATCCCAGTATGTTGGTCTGCTTCAGAAGGTCTAAGGTGTACTTGCGTTGGGAAACAAATATATCTTTTCTTGATCAAGCTACCTCCATACCAAGAAAGTATCTTAGTGATTATAGATCTTTAAATTCAAACTTCTTGGACAAAGCATGCTTGATCTTCACTATTTCCTCTATATCATTTCCAGTAAGGATAATGTCATCCACATGTACAATCAGTAATGATTCTTTCTGGCCATTTAATTAATCTATTTTCTTTCTTTTTCTTGAGTATACATGTTTCTTAATTGCTGCTCTTTGTAGGGATTGATTAGGACTTATGGGTGGAGGTAATAGGTCTGAAGGTGAATATGAGACATATGAGATATACCTTGGGAAACACTCGTGGTTTAGATTTCTTGTGATATTTGTTTATTTTGATTAGACTATGTTTGGTTGTATAATAAGGAATTTCACTCCCAAGTTTGAAATTCTCCTTCCCTCTCCCTGTGAATTTCAAAACTAGTGAAGTATGGGTTGTTTTAAAAAAAGGTGACATCCATGATTTCAAATACTTTCCTAGAAATAGGGCAAAAACATTTGCAACCTCTTTTTGTGGAGGAATAGCCAATAAGGATGCATTTTTTGATCTTGGGTCAAGCTTGCTTCTATCTTGTGGATAGATATAAACAAAGGCAGAGCATCTAAAAACTTTAGGTGGAAGGTTAGATGATACAAATCAAGCATGAGGATAGGCTTTGAGTAGAGTTTATCTAGGTGTTTCAAATGAGTAGGTAACCTATTTATTAGGTATGCAACAGTAAGAATGGCTTCCCCCAATAGATATTTTGGTACTTTTGTAAATATCATAATAGATATTGCAACTTTGTGAAGTTGCCTATTTTTTCTCTCAGCTACCCCATTTTGTTGAGGCATACACGCACATGAACTTACTTAGATTATCCCTTAGCTTGATAGGTATTCTCTCGTGATAGAATGGAAGTAATCTCTCCCATTGTATGATTTTAAGATTTAAATTTTTGTATCAAACTAGTTTTTGAATCATCAATTGAAATGATTTGAATATCCTTTCAACTTCAAACTTTTCCTTCATTAAATAAACTCAAGTGAGTCTAATATGATCATCAACAAATATCACAAACAGCCTTGCTCCACTTATATTTTTAACCCTTGAGGGTCCCCAAATATTACTATGGATCAAGGTAAAGGGTTTAGAAAGTTAGTAAGGAACAATTTGGTACGATGATATGGTATGTTTAGCCAATTGGCAAGTTTCACATTTGAACAAACTTGAAATTTTATTAATAAATAAATGGGGAAAAAGCTTTTCAAGATACATTAATTTTGGATGACCTAACTTATAATGCCACATAATAATATCTCTGTCTTGACCGACTCTAGAATGACTATTAACAAACTGACTTACATTAGGATGATTCTTAGGAGAATGATTCTTAGGAGCAGCAATTAAAGTTTGTATGTTTGGGTGTCTTGATGAAATATAACCCAGAACACATCTCAACACTGCCAATCTTCTTCTC